CTGATCAGCAATGATACTTAGGTATGTTGTGCTATTCAGACATTGTTCCACACGAATTAAAGGGCCCAAATCATGCCAGAAAAACATGCCCCAAACCATAGCACTGCCCCCACCAGCTTGAAGGATTGTACTCATGCATGTGGGGTGCATGCTTTCATGCTGTTTCCGCCAAATTCTCACTCTGCCATCTGCATGATGCAACTGGAAACGTGATTCATTGGACCACATGACTTTTTCCAATGCTCGACTGTCCAATCCTTGTGTTCCTGTACATTCTTGGTAACTGCAGACAGCAAAGGTGTTCGAACAGACCTTTGGCTGCTTTGCTAGTACTCGCTCCATGGCTCTGAGCGCCAAAAATCACCCCACATTAAAAAGCTATTAAATTGCGTTGTTTACCCATACCTTCAGAAAAAAATCACTTCTACTGTCGTGGTAAACAACCTGCTTCCCTATTTATAATGGTCTGGCCCTCTAGCAACTTCAGTGCGAAATTATAGCTAATTTGCCTATAAATGTCAGGTGGTCATAATAATCTGGCCACTCATCTACACTAATAAAAGAGAAACTTTCAAATGGTCATCACTCTGCTACAACCACCAGCCAATCAGGATGAGTATGCAAATTAACCCAACAAAGATGGTGATGCCATAGCGGCCAGGTGGTGCTTAGGGATGCTGGGGGCCAGATCAGAGACACAAACACACAGGGAGGCCGGCACCCAGCAGCCACAAGGCCCACCACCCTGGCACTGGGGCTGCTGGGGGCCTGATTGGAGACACAAACAAGCAGGGAGCCCGGCACCCAGCAGGCCCAAGCCCTGCCACCATGGTGCTTGGAGCTGCTGGGAGGATCAGAGACAAACCCGCAGGACTGGCACCCAGCAGCCCTGGCACCCAGCAGACCTAAGGCCAGCCACTGCAGTGGTGGGGCTGCTGGGGGCAGGATCGGAAACACAAACCCACAGGGGGACCTTGCACCCAGCAGCACCAAGCCCCGCCACCTCAGTGGTGGGGCTACTGGGGGCTGGATCAGAGACACAAACACGCAGGGAGGCCAGCCCCCAGCAGCCCCAAGCCCCGCCATCGTGGTGCTGGGGCTGCTGGGGGCCAGATTGGAGACACAAAACCACAGGGGCCATGGCAGAGGTGGTTAGAGGTGATCAAGCAGGCAGGGGAGAGCAGTTAGGGGAATCAGGCTGGCAGGCAGGTGAGCGGTTAGGAGCCAAAGTTCCTGCGGGGTCCCAGATTGGAGAGGGTGCAGGCCAAGCTGAGAGGACCCCCTTCCTGTGCACGAATTTCATGCACCGGGCCTCTAGTTACATATATAATACTCAGCCATAAGAAAAGATGAAATACTGCCATTTGCAACAACATGGATAATATTGTTGAGAATATCATGATAAGCGAAATAAGTCAGACAGAAAAAGTCAAGAACCATATGTTTTACTCACATGTGAGATATAAAACTGAAAGCAACAAATGAACAAACAAGACAAACAACAACTCATAGACAGACAACGGTATGGTGGTTACCAGGGGGAAAGGGATTGGGGAGAAGTAGTAATGGGTGAAGGGGTCAAGTATGTGGTGATGAAAGATGTGACTTTGGGTGGGAAACACACAATGCAATATACAGATAATGTATTGTAGAAATGTACACTTGAGGCCTACATGCTCCTATTAACCAATATCACCCTAATAAATTTAATTTAAAAAAATTTAAATGGTTAAGATGGTACGTTTTGTGTCACATGTATTTTACTGCAGTTAAAGTAAATTTTTAAATGTAAACCTTAAAAAAGTCATTTACTGCCCTAACTGGTTTGGCCCAGTGGCTAGAGCATCAGCCTGCCGACTGAAGGGTCCCGGGTTCGATTCCAGTCAAGGGCATGTACCTTGGTTGCGGGCACATCCCCAGTGGGAGGTGTGCAGGAGGCAGCTGATCAATGTTTCTCTCTCATTGATGTTTCTGACTCTCTATCCCTCTCCCTTCCTTTCTGTAAAAAATAAAATAAAATATTTTTTTTAAAAAAAAGCCATTTACTGAAAGCCTCCACAGGGTGCCAGAGTGAGGGAACAGGCCTGTTGTGCTGTCTGGAGATTCACTTTTAACCAACAAATGGATAGATGCTTATGGATGTTGGGGTGCAGGAGGTAGGGGTGCTGCTCTAAAGGGAGCCAGTGATGTCAAGCAGCCACCCCTTTGCCAGAGCTTCACAGCAAAGGTGATGAGAAGCAGGTGGCCAGCTCCTTGGTGGAGAAGGGCAGGGTGGAGGTTGTATATCAGGTTGGCACCCCCTGGTATCCTTAGTCTAAGGCAGGGGTGGGGAACCTTTTTTCTGCCGAGGGTCATTTGGATATTTATAACATCATTTTTGTAGGCCATACAAAATTATCAACTTAAAAATTAGCCTGCTCTATTTCGTCAAACATTTAATTAACTCATCCCTAGCCTTGGCAGGGCCAGACCAAATGACTTCATGGGCCTTAATGGCCTGCAGACCGACGTTCCTCCATCCTCCTCCCTGCCCCCCATTCTATGGGTTGCTGAGTGAACAGCTGCTCAGGAATGGCCGTGGGTATGGAGCCCACCTCTTCCATGTACAGGCCTGCATGTGGTCCCACCCATCTTGTTCTGGCTCTGGACCACTCCATCTCATGCCCTGGGCTCCAGACCAACAGCACGAACTGCACCTGCCCACACAGCAGACGCTCAACTAATTTTTCTAGCAAGACTACTTGAGCCTTAGCTCATGGCATTCCTGCACATCTTCCCTCCCTCTCATCCTACTGATGTCACATCCCCATGCCTCCCCGAATCTCCTTGCTTGGAAATAACCTCACCCTTAAGGGAGCCATGACACTGCTGTATCTGTGTCTGCCTTAGACCTTAACCCCATTCTATCCCCCTTTAGAGGGACTGTGTTCCTACCTTCTCCCCTAGAAACAAGGAGAAGGGCACCAATATTAGGACACTCACTGCTGAGTCAGCCCATGTTCATTCTTTTAGAACACCATTTAATTCCCAGTCACCCAGAGGGGTTATTGTCACTGGAGAAATGAGGAAACTGAGGCAGAGATGTGTTAAATAACTTGATCAAGATTACATAGCAGTAGACAGCTGAGCAGGTATTGGTAATGGATTTCAAAACACTGGGCTCACTCCAGAATTCTGTCTGAAGGGGATCCATGGCCGAGCCATCTATATACCAGCCACCGCACAAATGCTGTGTCCCATCCATGTCACAGAGATCAACAGGGCCGGAGGATGTCAGCCCTTGACCCACCGGACTTCAACCATAGTGACAGTGGGCAGTTCCACTGAGCTCAGGCTTAGCTCGTGCTGACAACATCCTGTGTCAAATTTGGTCCTCCTGTCCTAGAATTCCTTGTACATCTTGGGTGCCCCCCACCTCCACTGCTCCCACCTTGCCCCAAAGTAAAGGAGAGTTAATACCTCCCAGACCACCTTCGCCCACAGGGAGTGGGAGCAGTGCCCACCCTCTGTCCTTTAGGTGAACAATTCTGGAGGCCTCTGTGAACTCTAATTGAAATGAAGCCTGATGCCCACAACCACTACTTTGATGACGCTGAGTCCCCATCCGTTTTTGACCTTCCCTTCTTCCCCACCTCACTCTCTGTGCTCACTCCTACTTCCTGGAATCGTCTCCACAAAAACCACAGGCACCAGCTCTTTGTCTCAGGCTGTGCTCTGGGGCCCTCCAGATGGCCAAGGGCCCCAGAGTCCCCTTTTCATGCGAGGTTACAGTGAGCTAGCAAGGGTTGTGAAAACCTGGCATTTGTAAACTAGAATTAGAGTAGTACCAGAGTTTACGAGGACATTAATCCAGCTTTCTATTGAGAAGACTGGCTGCCATGCCCTGCTCAAAGCCCCTACTGCGCATGCCCACTGGCAGGTCATCAGAAGCCCCACCATCCTCGGGAAGGATACTGTGCAATCAACACCTCCTGAAGATGACCTTGAGCCAGTCGTAGCTTCCTCAGACTCTTAAACTATGAAGTGCTATAAAGTACTATTACTTTGAATAACAGATTAAAAATGGCCACAGCCCTAACTGGTTTGGCTCAGTGGATAGAGCATCGGCCTGTGGACTGAAAGGTCCCAGATTTGATTCTGGTCAAGGGCATATACCTTGGTTGTGGGCACATCCCCAGTAGGAGGTGTGCAGGAGGCAGCTGATCAATGCTTCTCTCTCATCAATGTTTCTAACTCTCTATCCCTCTCCCTTCCTCTCTGTAAAAAATCAATAAAATATATATTTTTTAAAATGGCCACAAATTTTTTGACACTCCTACATCAAGAGGCCGAGTCTGTTCCTGCAACCCTTGAATCTGCATTGATCTGCGACTACTTGCTCAAAAGAGAACGGCAGAGGAGCGCTGTGCCAGCTCCACCCCCAGCCTTGAAGAAGACTGGCAGCCTCACAGCCGCGGAGCCCTGATCTGCCATGTGGGAGCCTGACTACTGTGCTGGAGGCCCTACGTGGAGAAGGTCTGAGGCTGCGAGGAGGGAGAGGGGTGAGGGGAGCTCGCTGTCCCAGCCTGCCCACCACGGGGTGGGCACATGAGCACAGCTGTGCTGAAGCCTCCGGACAGCCCTGCCAACTCCAGTCAGGTGACTCCAGTCACCACCACATGAAGCGGAAGGCTCAGCCAGCCTGGATATGCTTGGCTTTCTAACCCAGGAAATGGTGAGACAGGGCAGCAAAGCGGGGCTTGTTTTCAGCCACTGGGCCTTGGAGTGGCGTGGGGGCCAGCGACAGACACATGGACAGTTTTGCTTCACTACTGACTTAGTTTGCAGTACATGGTGATTCATATTTGCATCAACAGAATGTAAGACAATAATTTTTAAGAATTACTTTAAGAGTCAAAGTTCAAATGAAACATCCATACCCTCTTGCTGAAGCACACGTGTAATTGATCCAAAAGCACAGCTCCTTCAGCGACCTTTGCCGGTCATGTGCTGCCTGTGAATCTGCGCTATTTATATAGTTTGCCAAGTAGGTGTAATCCAATTTCTAGGCTATTTTTGAATTTATGAATCATTGTGTCATAACATCAAGTTGTGTTTATAAGCTCATTATTTTTACTCGCAAATTAAATTACAAGTAATCCATTAAGAGAGAAAGTAGCCTAGAGCAGAGGTTAGGAGTAACGGCAATGGGGCTGCTGTGTGGGTTCAAATCCCAAACTCTGCTTCTTCCGCACATAGTCGGTAGAACAATGGAAACTACCGTGGAGGTTTGTGAGGGTTATTGATGTATACAAGTGCTTAGAACAGCTCATGATAAGACCCAATTGGCTCATTACAACTTATTTATTTTGTCCTCTTCAATTTTGTATTGTCACCTGCCGGAAGCCGGTCCATCCTTGCTGCTTGACACAGTCGCTGCAGGAAAGAAACATCTGCACAGCATATGTTTCAAGGGGCCTGGCGTATATAGCATACTGTTCTTAATATGTTTGCTCCCCTTTGATGTATACAAGTGCTTAGAACAGCTCATGATAAGACCCAATTGGCTCATTACAACTTATTTATTTTGTCCTCTTCAATTTTGTATTGTCACCTAGTTCTTTCTCTACCAAAAGATAGAGCAACATGCTGGGGAGACGGGATGTCTGCCCTGTAGTGCTGAGCACACCCTTTCCCCATCTCAGCCTTCAGGGAACCTTTGATAGTTACCCAGTGAATGCATTCTTCCCTTGGACATCTGACATCCTTTAAACAATTTCTTTAGGCACAGGTGGCTCTGAAGCACCGAGTGCATGCTGGTTTGGGCCCAGGGAACAGGGGTGTCCAGCCCATCTGCCTCCGATTTCTTGTGGCCCCCGTCTCCTCGCCAATGTCCTCGGTGAAGCTGTCCAGCGACGTGCCCAGCAGGCCTCCTGCAGGGTCCTCCTGCCTGAATGCAACCAGCGCACTTTCTGAGCGTGTCACTCTGAATCCAAGTGATAGGCTCAGTCTGGGCCAGGTGGGCAAGACTCAAATTGACCACTTGCTCACACCCACCATAGTCTGAAATTTGGCAGAAAAAAATAAAAAGACATAAACACAAGAATGGCGCTGGCCCCATCGCTCTTGTGGCAGCAACTCCTACCAGGCCCCACGTTCTGTTCTGTTTTCTTTTCCCACTGGTTTTCCTCCTGTGACCTTGGGGAGTTCTTGCTATTGGCCCAGAGATGCCAAGTCTCCCTAATGAGAGAAACCTGGGAGACGCAGGAAGGGTGAGAAGAGACACTCGCCCTCCCCCTGTGGCCGACAGGACTCTGACCCAAGGTCTGATGTGTGGGAACCGGCAGCACCAGAGCCATGGCACCGGGCCAGCAGAGCCCTGTGTAAACGCCACTGCCACCATCCGTTCTGCTTGCTGCCTTCACAAAGCTGTCCTCACAAACACCGCTGTAACCAATGGGCTCCCAAATTAGGCTCTGCCCTGTGCAATATAGTCTTCACTCTACACAGCTCAGTTCCCTGGTAATACAATAATCTCTAAATTAAAGTCAGATTTTGTAAAATATATAGACTTATCTGATGTGTTGAGCCCCCAGCTTTGCCACCCCTTCCGCCCTCATGGAATAAATGAAGTCCTAACCTGAGACAGTGAAAGGAGACTCTCACCGCTTCACTATTCATGTTGTTCAGAAGAAACTGGGATTTGATAGATAGAACCTGTAAGTTCACTAGCCTTTATACAAAGCCCAGTTGTATTTTGAAAAACGGAAAAGAAGGACTGTATTGCAGCCACCTGCTCCCTGCTAAGGCCCAGAAGGAAAGAGCCTCCACTGGGGTCGGTGGCCCTCATTCCTCAGACAGACCCGCCTTCCCCAGTGGCCTCTGGCTCATTGCCAGCCCTCTGCCTACGGGAGCAGGCAGCCTTTAAAAAATGCTGTTCGGAAACTGTCTATGCCTATGAGGCATTGGTATCATGACTCACATGGAGTGAACCAGAACAAACCCAGGAAGAGAAACGATTCAGGTGTGACCTGCAGCTCTTGCACAAACTGCATAGTATCTCACTCCAGAGCTGGGACCTGTTCAGACACATAGCACAACGGTAACCTCAACAGAACCGCTCACCTGTGCTGATGTGCCAGGCACAGCGCAAGCACGGTGTCTGCGTTGTACCATTTAACCCTCACAATGACCCTGTGGAGTAGACATATTAGACCCATTTTATAGACGAGGAAGCATGAGGTCAGAGAGAGTTCATAATTTCCTCCAGCTCAGGACTGGTGGGTGGCAGAGCTAACTCTCACTCAAGTCGGCTGACCCACACCAGGAAATGGATATGCAGAGACAGAACAGTGCACCGCCCAGCCTCCGACAGGCCCAAGGGGACTGTGAGCTTAGCTAAGCCTGATGGATACTCATGCCCACAGGGAGACACTAGGGAGAGATGGCGGTGGCGGGGTCTCAGCTAGAAAGGTTTAGTGGGTTTGAAGGAAGCCTTTGCACAGAGATTGAGGGTACAGAAAGAAGGGGCTGTCCCCTACGGGCAGGGTCTCATGGAAGGTAGCTGGGAGAGCCCCAGTGGGCTCCAGGCAGGGCTGTCCCCAGCAACAAGTCCGATAGCTCAGGGCTCTGGGGAGGACAGAGGCCACAGAGAGTCAGGGAATTGGAGCCCAGATGTCACACAGTTAGCATCAGCCGCTCAGCACAGAGCTAGGCCAGTGGAGCTGGCCGGGAGCATGTTACCATTACTAGGCCATAGCTTAGGAGTTTGATTGGCTAGACAAACAGTGGAGGAAGAATTGATTGGAAGGTAAGAGAGCCAAGAGTTGATAACTTCAGGAATGGGAGGAAGTGTTGCCAAAAATGTTCCAAAGCCACCAACCGGCATGCCAAGGAGAGTGGGTGGTTTCTGCCCACTCGCCATCGGTGATCCACAGCATGAGTGTGGCACCAGGAAAGCAGCTGACAAATGTCCCAACTGGCCTGCATGGCAAGTGCTGGGATCCAGGTTAGTTACAGTGTTTCAAGGGCACAGGAGTCACCAGGGTCAAGGGCCATGAAGAAAATGGAAAGGGAACCAGGGCCAGATCCTGGGCAGCCCTCGGAAGAGCCGCAGCGTTTTACAGCCACCAGCTGTGAGAGCGAGAGCCCAAGGCCCCGCTCTGCAGAGCGGACAGATGACAGAGCCTGCCTGATGTACTCCTGAAATTATACACTAGTATAATCATGGTGACTTTTCTCTCTCCCCAGGGAACCAAGTGTAACTAACTATAAAGTAATATGCTCATTGAGACAATTCACCTAAGAACAACTAAGAAACATTTGGAAATATTCAACTTCTAAAGAATCAAAGAAATGCCAAATAAGTTATCAGTGAGAAATCATTTTACCTATCAGTGGACAAAGGTAAACATGATAAAATCCATTCTGCAAGGATGCAGTGCAACAGGCAGGGTGACACTGGGCGTGGGAACCCAGGAAACAGCAAGGGCCTTAAAAATGCCCAGCCTTTGTGCCCAATAACTACACTTCCAAGACCTCGCTTAAAGGTACTGCAAGGTACAGAATAAATTGTCTTTCAGTGATGTTTATTGCAATATTACTTAGAATATTGAAGAATGAAAAGCAACTTAAAATCAAAATAAGGAAGTGATTAAATGATTACATTTCCATACTCAGAAGTCATCCACTCATTCAAAAAACCCTGCATGACCACCTCCCACTTGCATAGCTCTGCTCCATGCTGGAGCCGTGCAGGCAGTGGGCCACTGTCCCTGCCCTGCAGACTGGAGGCAGACAGGTCCACGAATATAAGGGGCAGAGGAAACAGGTGGAAAGATGGAGTCTGCACAAAAGAGGGAGTGGGCAACACCTGTAAGGGAGGACAGGCCAGTCAATCAGAACTTTAGACAAGGCTGTCCTTGAACTCATTGTTGGAGAACTGGGCTTACCGTGGTGACCTGAGTCTGGGAGAGGGCAGGAACAGCTCTGCGGGCAGAGGCCATGCGAGCACACAGGCCTCAGACCCCCTTGTGTGTTCAGCAGTCTGCAAGCAGCAAGCAGAGCAGCTAGAAAGCGGAGTGAAGGAGTCACAGCGAGGGCTGTGTCAGGGCTGGGCCAATGCCAAGTCTGGCATGCCAGCCTAAGAAGTCTGGGCTTGTCCTTACAGCCAGCAGAGAGCCACTGACAAATGTTCAGTGTGGAGGAACATGATCGATCAGTCCTTTTGTCACTTGGAAGGCTGAGAGCAAGACGTCTTTGGAGGGCATGACTCCCAGCACTTGGTGGCAGGTGAGGTGGGCAGAGAGGGTGCAGATTTAGACCCTCCCAGTTTCTTACAAGGTGGATAAGTGGTCTCAGTTGAACAAGGCAAAGATCCTGGTGGGGAAATGTGTGTGGGAGGATGAGGCAACTGTGGACATGATGCATTCGAGGACTCTATGGGGCCATCAGACGAAGATGCAATCATTGAAAATGGTGTCTGTAGAGAGAGTTTCTAATATAAAGAAATTTTTTAAAAGACAAAGAAAAATTGTTTAAGTTTTCTAAAGAATACATACAAATGTCCAACAGGTACATGAAAAAATGCTCACCTTTACTAATCATCAGGGAAATGCAAATCAAAACCACAATGATACCATCTCACACCTGTTAGAATGGTTATCATAAAAAAGGCAGAAAATAATAAGAACTTGTGAGGATATGGACAAAAAGGAGCTTTGTGCACTGTTGGTGGGAATGTAAATTGGTAGAGTCACCATGGAAAAGAGCATAAATATTCCTCAAAAAATTATAAATAGAACTACCATATGATTCAGCAATTTTACTTCTGGGTATATACTTGAAGGAAGTGAAAACAGGCTATTGAAGAGATATCTACACTCACATGTTCACTGTAGCATTACTCACAATAGCCAAGATATAGAAACAAACTAAATGTCCATCAACAGATGAATGGAAAAGGAAAATGTGGTTATATATACAATGAAATATTGTTCAGCAATTAAGAAAGAATGTACTGCCTTTTGGGACAACATATTGTTCCTTTCATAACCACAGAAGAAATGATGATTAGAGATCAACAGCAAATGTGATATCCAGCACTCAAAGCCAAATCTCTCCAGGTTGAGAACATGGTGCCTACTCACCAGTTGCAACTTGGGGAGCATTCATATGAGCATGAAAGCCATGCTGGGTAGAGCAGAGGCCCAGCAAATATTTACAGGTCTTGGCCGAATCCCAGTGATGCTGCTTGTGATGGTGAACTTCTTTCGCTGAAGGAAGCAAGCACCGACATTAATATATTGACCATCCATACCCATTAAAGCATGACTGCCCAGAGAGTAATCAAATGCTGGGCCTCAGTTCAATGTCAAGGTTCTAGGCATAAGAAATGTATGGCACATGTCATCTGACTACGGCTCAATGTTTTCTTTCTGATTAAGAAAAATCCCTCCTTTGATTTTTCCATCATTCATGAATCAAATGTTTGCTGATCAGGTGACCTGCCAAGGTGTGCTAGGTGAAAAGAATATTAAGTGAGTCAGGTGCACGTAACTGGCCCTGAGCAAGGACTGGTCCTCAGTGCACATTTTGAAGGCCATTGAATATACATCGTGTTCATTGTACGAACTCCCAGAAGTTGCAGACAAAATCTCAGCTAGTAGGGTGATAGAAAAGATAAAAGCACTGTATATGTCCTCATAATTCTTACAATATATGCCATGCTCTGTTCTAAGTGCTTTCTGGGTATTAATTCACTTCCTCCTTAAGGCTCCCGATGAGGGACAGCCTAACATTGTCCTTATTCTACAGGTGAGGGAACAGACCAGCAGCTCTTAGAATGCAGCAGGAATTCAGGCCCCATCACCATGAAACACTTCCCACATGTATACCTCCAAGGCCCACATACAAAGTGACAACCTTGGCACAGCTCATCGGGATGTACTGCAGAGGATTATCTGTACGGGGTTATCTATGTGGAGCTTCATGGGAAAAATCCATAACTTTTTGCAACTTGTAATTCTAAGAAGGATAATAAAATACAAAGTAATAGAGATGACATTAAATATAAATTTATATGTAGCTTCCAAATGAAATCTATATTCTAGATATTCCATAAGAACCTGAGTTGCTCCTATAAAGATAACCTTATAATTGTAAGGTTTATGCTTCCAAGGGCTCCCTGAAACTCCCAATCCTCTTTCATGCTGATCCTTTGATTCATGAGTCACCATTTCTAAGGAATCCCATTCTCACAAATCAGATCACTGATCATCACATTTTCTCTGAGAAACTCCGCTTTGCCATTAACCTAATTTTAGATAATTAAGCAATCTCTAAATATCTTTCCTTTTATTGATAGGCATAATGTTGAACCTCACTAATGTGAATGGATTTTGAATCTAATTGAACTATATTATGTCTGCTATTTTTTAAATAATGTATTTTCTCAAATATTTACAGGTGCTGTCCTGCTAGCCTTGAGAATTCTTCTTTAGTATTCAAATTGTAATAATGCCTAAACTCCAGCAGTGGATCATTTTATCCTCACTTTCCAAGCTGGAATATTTGCCTGCAATTCATCTGCTTTCAGTACATATTGATATGCTTCCCTATAGTCCTGACAATTTTACATTCAGTTCACTCAGGTGTTAAAAAATTGTTAGATGTTATTTTTTTTAATCTAATAGCTATTCTTTAACAAATCTGAAAAGAGAGAAAGAATCATTTTCACACACATACACACACCTCGGTCTTTCTTTCATAAACTCTCAGCAAAACTCTCCTTTTGGACATCAATGCTCTGGGCAGCGATTTTTACCCAGTGTGTTGCAAGAATTTTTAAAATATGCAAAATATGACTATTTAGTCAGCACATTGACCTCTTTTTCCTCAGATTTTCAAATTAAAAAAAATGACAACAGCCAATACAACAATAGCCATTCAGTGTGGATGAATCAAAATTGTACCTATTTTTTGGTGTGCTGCAGAGTTTTAGTAATTAATTTATGTCTGCCATGTGATGAAAAAGGTTGGAAATCGCTGCTCTAACATATTAAACACCACAGAGAATGGGATTCGGATGCCATTTAATGGCATAAAGCTGACAACAGTCTTGACTGTGTGTTTTGGATTCTTTTCCATCTGATAACCTCATTTAATGAGAAATCACACCTACAAGCAAACTTTCCCATGGATTAGCTGCTCAACAAACAAGATGATGTGTAGCCTGCCCTCGGGATTTTCAGCAGAAACCTGGAGAATTTATTTACACCCCGTGGTCGCAGTACGAACATATCGGTGCTTCCGTGACAGCATATTTGTTTCCAAGCACTGGTTTACCATTTCAAGTACTTCTTCCCCATAGTTGTCCCGCCGGTGCTGCTTGCTCACACTCTGGTGGCTTTGACACCCCTTTGCAGAACAATGACGACCAGCCCAGGCGGACTGGCCAGGCAGCTCCGAAGATGGAGCTCCAGGGCCCTCACCTGGGTGGGCCACTTCCCAGGAGGGGCCTTGGCAGAGTCCTCCTGTTTTCTTGTAAAGTGTGGAAAATAATGTGCTTTCACCACAATCAGTGAAGACTACGGACCCTTCCTTCCACCCAGCTCATCCCCACTGCTCCTCACCTCAGGGGTGTGTGGTGTGGAGCAGAGCCCGCCAAGGAGAAGCTGAGATGAGAACAATGCAGTGTGGATTAGTGGGATTTTTTTTTAAATTTTAATTAAATCTTTATTGTTCAGGTTACATTTGTTCCTCTTTTTTTCGCTCCACTCGGATTAGTGGGATTTGTTCATGTATTTGCAGTCTGTGCTGCAGTGATTCATTGCTAGCCATCCAGAATACTCCTTCCATCAGGCCAGCTCACCCAAAGTCTCTGAACAGGTCACCGACCTTGCCCCCCTTCCCCGCCCTCCCATATCAGCACCAGGGCCACCGGGCAGCGCTGGAGGGGAACTGGGCTGGACATGTACAGAGCCAGAGGCCAGTCTGTAGGAAATCGTGTCAATTGTCAGAAATGAAAAACTGTAGTTTAGTTCTTAAAAACACCGAGTCAGGTAGGAGCTCTGTCCTGTCAGGGGTCACCCCCTACAGTTTTATATGCTGCATCATCAGTGCACCACACAGCGCTTTCCCTCTGACGGGAACCACGTGCAATTGCATTGATTGGATGTCTAGTGTCGCCAGCACAGAAACCTGTGGCAGCTCTACAGAGAACAGCTACCCTCCGGGCAAAGCTGCATGTCTTATCAGCCAAGCTAGAAGAAAAGCAACCCTCAATCAGCCAAGCTAGAAGAGTGACTAAATTATCTGTTTTTCTCTGGAGAAAATATTATAAAAGCGTCATCATGTAAAAAATCAGAGTGTATGCCAACAAAAATTTGAAAGGAAAAAAAGAATTGTAGAGTTTTCCAGGGAGTTGATAAAAATATTATTTTTTGGTTTTTGTGGTTTTGCAGTATTTTTTCAGCAGGTTTTTTTTTAAAATGTACACATTATGGTATTTCCTTTCTCATTCTAAATGAATACTCACTTGCATATTATAGTTTGTATTTTGAACTTTTGCATTATTTTTTTTTTTTGAGAGAGAGGCCCACAGAGTCTGTATTTTTCTGTGCAGACGTTTCGGCTATTGTTAACCAAGGTCAGTTACCAGCATCGCCGCACAATGAACATGTTCTCGAATGAATAACTTCTGAACTGGTGTTGTCTCTGTCACAGACAGGCTGCCAGCACACCCAAAGTTATCGTCTTTGAAAAGGGCAATTTTCTCTATTTCTTTTGCTACTTCCCGGCAGGCCGGCAAGATGAATGACCTGTGATTGTTTGAAGCATTTTGGCTTCCACTATTAATGAAGCAAATTTCAAAACAGCTTCCTGAGTGCATGCTCCATTGTTCACAGTCCCCATTCTGTGTTTGCAGAAGCGTGAAGAGTTCAAGTCGTCTTCTGTGTAAGACACCTGGTTTGTGGCAAGCAGCTGGTGGAATAGGCGACCATGCTGAGGAAGAGGGTGCTCGCGAGGGCATGGAAATCCCAACTGTGACAATGTCGTTTTCAAGCTACTCAGTTTGTCTTGTGAACCTGATGACTATTCAGCTGTAATCAAGAAATTATCCTTGGTTGTGGGTAAAATAAACATCTGTAAAAATTAAACCAACTAAAGTACATAGCATTAGTTAGGGAGTTGTTCTTTACAATTTCAAAATATTCTATTTTTTAAAATTTCTTTTTAGGTTATCTGCATTTTTACAGATTTGTGTTAAAACAAATTACATTGAAAATTTGAAACAATTAAGCATTATGTAAACAAAATAGGGAGTAATGCAATGGTATTAAATTAATTCAATAATAAAAATTCTCCAAATAATCTTCAATTGAATTGAAATAATGTGTCATTAAAATTCTGAACATCTGCCCGGCTGGCGTAGCTCAGTGGTTGAGCTTAGACCTGTGAACCAGGAGGTTGCGGGCTTGATCCCCAGTGGAGGGCATGCAGGAGGCAGCCATTCAATGATTCTCTCTCATCATTGATGTTTCTATCTCTCTCTTCTCTCCCTTCCTCTCAGAAATCAACAAAAAGAAAGGAAGGGAAGGAGGGATGGAGGGAGGGAGGGAGAAAGAAAGGGCCCCCTGATCACTCTCAGATCCCCTGGTACACTCCCTCCCACTGTGCCACAGTGCATCTGAGCACAGGGCAGCTGGCAGGCTGAGCTTATCTGGGCAAGAGATCACGTGACCCATTGCTCCTTTAAAGAGGCAACAGATCAAAGGAAAATGAAGCATTGGCCATTTATCAGCTGAGCTGCACTCACATAAGTTGAAATCTTCCCAATTTCTCTCCACTGAAATCGTAAAGTTGCAATTCTGCTGCTGTTTTTCACTTCATATATTATGAGGCCCTTGGCCCAGATCCCCAAGGCCATCTCCCCTCCGAGCTTGTCTTCTCTGGGAGAACTCGGTGAGCCCAATATGCCATATTCTGGAAGATGCTGAGTGACCGGGAGCAAGAAAAAGGCCAGTTT